AGAGAGAGAGAGAGAGAGAGAGAGTGAGTGTGAGTGTGAGTGTGAGTGTGAGTGTGAGTGTGAGTGTGAGTGTGAGTGTGAGTGTGAGTGTGAGTGTGAGTGTGAGTGTGAGTGTGAGTGTGAGTGTGAGTGTGAGTGTGAGTGTGAGTGTGAGTGTGAGTGTGAGTGTGAGTGTGAGTGTGAGTGTGAGTGTGAGTGTGAGTGTGAGTGTGAGTGTGAGTGTGAGTGTGAGTGTGAGTGTGTGTGTGTGTGTGACTGTCGTCTGGTCAATAGCTGCTTCAGATTGTTATTGATCTGTATGGCAGAAGCTCTTGTCAGAAGAGCCTGTATTTCAGGAGCCGGCGAGAGTGCGACTGTAAATAATGCGCTCGCTAACCTTCCCTGACCCTCAGAAACGACACACACGCCTGTTTATTCATGTGCTGTTATTCTGTCTCGATAAAGCCGTGCTTCACACACCACTAAACTGCATCAGTCCCATTAGAATCAATTGAAAGCTGTTATGATATTGTGTCATGGTGTACTGAATTGGATTGAATTGTGTTGGCAGGCTCTTCAATCTGACTCTGAAGAAGCTGGTGATGCTGAAGGAGCTGGATAAAGATCTGACGTCTGTGGTCATCGCTGTCAAACTGCAGGTGAGGCATTCTTTCACTCGTTCTTCTCGCTCAACATGAAACATAAATCAACTCTGTTCACTTAAATGCACATTCTGGGCATGTTGTGCACGTCATCTGAAACGACAGCAAAATAATATCAACCAATAACATCACAGCCCACTTTTTATGATCCAATCGAATCCTGATGGATAACCTCAAATCCCGCCCCAAAATATCACCCACTGCAAATTCTTTCTTTATTTATTTATTTTGAATAATAAAAAATCAGAAATGTTTCTTGAGCAGCATATTATTATGATTTCTGAAGATCATGTGACACTGAAGACTGGAGTAATGATGCTGAAAATTCAGCTTTACATCACAGAAATAAATTAAATTTTAACAGATATTCACATAGAAAACAATTATTTGAAATTGTAATAATATTTCACAATATTACTGATTTTACAGTATTTTAGATCAAATAAATGCAGCCTTGATGATCACAAGAGACTGCTTTCAAAAACATAAAGAAATCTTACAGTCCCCTAATTGTGTTTTCTGCTGTCTTACGCAGATCTGGAAGACGAAGCGCTTCCCGCGTCTAATGATGTTTATTCACCATCTGTCTGTCCTCTCGGTTTCTCTTTCAGGGCTCAAAGCGAATCCTCCGCTCCAATGAGATCCTCCTGCCATCGAGCGGCCAAACGGAGACAGACCTGCAGCTCACGTTCTCCTTACAGGTGAGTGTCAGCACAGTCTCTTCACGTGCGTATGGCCTCAAACTAACACTCACAGTCGTCTCTGTGTCCTCTCAGTATCCGCACTTCCTGAAACGAGACGCCAACAAGCTGCAGATCATGCTGCAGAGGAGGAAGAGGTACAAGAACAGGACCATCCTGGGCTACAAGACGCTGGCGCTCGGCCTCATCAACATGGCTGAGGTGAGGCGCAGACAGCTCTGAGTCGCCGCGTGTCAGTCGTTCCTGTGTTAACTGATGATTGCTGGTGTTGTCAGGTGATGCAGCACCCCACCGAAGGCGCTCAGGTCCTGGGTCTGCACAGTCAGCTGAAGGACGTGTCCGTCCCGGTGGCTGAGATCCGGGTTTATTCACTGTCCAGTCAGCCCATCGACCGCGAGGGACCCAAAGCCAAGATGAACGGTGAGACACCAGCGACTTTACTGGTTTGGTGTAGCGGTTAAAAGCGACTGACCAATCAGGATGAGGTATTCCAGAGTCATGTGACTGTAATCTGCAAGTTCAGTGTAAGTAAAGTGAATGAAATGAATGTATAGTGTTCCTCATGCTTTCTCTGTGGTTTTCTTGGGCTCAGATCGTTCTCCAGACATTGATAACTACTCCGAGGAAGAGGAGGAGAGTTACTCATCTGAGCAGGAGGGCAGCGACGACCCCGTTCATCATGTAGGTCAACTGTGTGTGTGTTAAATCAATTATTCCGTTTTTAATGAATACGTTTATGTTTGTATACAAATTTTCATTTTTTTTTTCAAATAAATTAATTTTAAAGACTTTTTAATATTTTTTTATTTTAAATTTTTTTTTTATAAATACATTTTTAATTAATTAATTTTAATTAATTTCAATGAATTAATTATTTACAAATATTTTTAAGTTATTTAAATATATATGCATTTTTAAATTTTTATTAAATTAATTTTAATATTTAAAATACTTTATTAAATTAATTAAATTACATTTTTTGATAAATTACTTCTAAATATATATATTTTTTAAATTAATATATACATATATATATATATATATATATATATATATATATATATATATATATAT